AGTGAAATTGACTTGTAGCAGCTGGCGAAATTTAACTACCGTCCAGTTCACGTGAACGGTAGTTATATCCACCAATATCCAAGCCATCCATGTGTTACAAAGCTGGTTCTCACAGAGTTCTCCATCATTCTCAGTAGCATTATTTCCTCAGCGCTCTACACGGAACATTTGTAAGAGAAAATGATTAGTAATTTAGTGCCCCTTGTTTGTCCCTTTTTTTTAAATATTGGAACTCTGTTTACCTTTTTTAAACGTTTTTCTCTCTAGCGTCCTACTAAAATTTTTAGAAAACAAATAGCAAAGTACTTCAGCAGGTCAAGGGCATGTATGTCCTCGCACACTGGCGGTCAAGCAGTTTGTGATGACACAGCTGGTGCTGGCCCAATCGCAATGAAAAATGAAACACGACGAATTCTATTTCGTCTGAGGTACGATCATTAATCAAAGCTGACAGGCTGGCGGGTCTGACAGCTGACTATTACGGCGGCATAATCCAACCCGTCATTTCCACAGCTCGGCTATTGTCACGGGGCTGACGGATCGAACGAATTTTTATTGCACCCGGTATTTACCTAACCCGTCCACGTGTACAGGTTGACGGATTGAACAAACATCTACTAATTCCCTTCGTATATGCATCCGTCCAATGTTATAGGATGACGGATTAGACAAGTATTACATCCCATTAGTCTGGTATTTTGGGTTGATGGATGGAACGAATATCTATTCCACCTCTCTCTGTGTGCTATCAACTGGTTGGAATTGAAAGGATGCAACTTATCCCAGGGATCTCTGGACCTAGATGACTCTCTGGACTCCTAGAAAGCCTTGGCTACTGACTCTGGGACTCGTGGGATCCTAGATAATCTGCGGAGTCTCTGACGTCCTTAAACTCATCTCAAGCTGTATGGATTCTTTGGATCTTTAGGGAGGTCCTTTGGCTTTCTATGAACGCAGTACACCCTTAGGGACTCAGTGTACTCTTTTTTAGCAACATCAGTGACCAGGGGAACTCAAAATCACTGCTAATAACACCAAGGGCCCTTAGAATCACTGCTAGTAGCACAAGGGCCTTTACAATCTCTTCTAGTATTCCCCAAGGTCCTTACAGTCACTGCTAGAAGCACCAGGGCCCCCTCACAATCACTACCAGAAGCACTACAGCCTTCACAATCACTACCAGAAGCACTACAGCCTTCACAATCACTGCTAGAAGCACCAGAGCCCTAACAATCATTGTTAGAAGCACCAGAGCCTTCACAATCACTGCTGGTCGTACCAGGTCCCTCACAATCACAGCTGGTCGTACCAGGTACCTCTCAGTCACTGCTAGAAGCACCACAGCCCCTTCACAATCCTTGCCAGAAGCACCAGAGTCCTCACAATCCTTGCCAGAAGCACCAGAGCCCTCACAATCCCTGCCAGAAGCACCAGAGCCCTCACAATCCCTGCCAGAAGCACCAGAGCCCTCACAATCCTTGCCAGAAGCACCAGAGTCCTCACAATCCTTGCCAGAAGCACCAGAGCCCTCACAATCCCTGCCAGAAGCACCAGAGCCCTCACAATCCCAGCCAGAAGCACCAGAGCCCTCACAATCCTTGCCAGAAGCACCAGAGCCCTCACAATCCCAGCCAGAAGCACCAGAGCCCTCACAATCACTGCTAGAAGCACCAGAGCCCTCACAATCACTGCCAGAAGCACCAGGTCCCTCACAATCACTGCCAGAAGCACCAGGTCCCTCACAATCACTGCCAGAAGCACCAGGTCCCTCACAATCACTGCCAGAAGCACCAGGTCCCTCACAATCACTGCCAGAAGCACCAGGTCCCTCACAATCACTGCCAGAAGCACCAGGGCCCTCACAATCACTGCCAGAAGCACCACAGCCCTCACAATCACTGCCAGAAGCACCAGGGCCCTCACAATCACTGCCAGAAGCACCAGGTCCCTCACAATCACTGCCAGAAGCACCAGGGCCCTCACAATCACTGCCAGAAGCACCACAGCCCCCTCACAATCACTGCCAGAAGCACCACAGCCCTCACAATCACTGCTAGAAGCACCACAGCCCCCTCACAGTCACTGCCAGAAGCACCAGGGCCCTCACAATCACTGTCAGAAGCACCAGGTCCCTCACAATCACTGCCAGAAGCACCAGGGCCCTCACAATCACTGCCAGAAGCACCACAGCCCTCACAGTCACTGCCAGAAGCCCCACAGCCCTTACAGTCACTGCCAGAAGCACCACAGCCCTCACAGTCACTGCCAGAAGCACCACAGCCCCCTCACAATCACTGGCAGAAGCACCAGGGCCCTCACAATCACTGCCAGAAGCACCACAGCCCCCTCACAATCACTGCCAGAAGCACCAGGGCCCTCACAATCACTGCCAGAAGCACCAGAGCCCTCACAATCACTGCCAGAAGCACCAGGTCCCTCACAATCACTGCCAGAAGCACCAGGGCCCTCACAGTCACTGCTCGGACACATCAACTCTCCCCCTGCTGATGGTATCTTTATTTTCACATGCCGCTCCACTGGCCACTGATGACCCGCCCTAGCAGAGGGGAGCAGGGAGGGGAAGATAGAGTAGCAGCAGGAGGAAGGGTAAGGGGAGAAATGGTGAAATGCTTTGGTAGTCGACGGGTTATCGTCTGCAACCGGCAGGCATCGCCCTAGTCAACACGCGACGTAACCACAACATCGTTATCTTGAGGTTATCTTGAGATGATTTCGGGGCTTTAGTGTCCCCGCGGCCTGGTCCTCGATCAGGCCTCCACCCCCAGGAAGCAGCCCGTGACAGCTGACTAACACCCAGGTACCTATTTTACTGCTAGGTAACAGGGGGCATAGGGTGAAAGAAACTCTGCCCATTGTTTCTCGCCGGCGCCTGGGATCGAACCCAGGTCCACAGGATCACAAGTCCAGCGTGCTGTCCGCTCGGCCGGCCGGCTCCCCGTAAAATGTAATCCACAAGGGCCGTGATGAGCGTTCGAGCCTACGTCAGGGAGGAGCCCAGACACTGCCTTAATCGACTGAGCTACGACATGGTAAAAGAATTGCAACCGGGAAATCAGCCTGATCTACCACGGATTTATTACGTTTAGCAGCGATTTTGTGTGTCGGGTGTTAAACACAGCTTCAGTAGCTCAATGGAGACTATTGGTTCACTATCCGAACCGATATGCCAGATATTCCCCATAGCTTTCATGGATACATATTTACAAAATACAGACTATTGTACCCCCAAAAAAGGAGCCATTTGTTGTGCTTTAGGTATACTGCAAGGCAGAACAAAAGCTGTATTAGCCTGAATATCAACCTGTCATATCCAGTGAAGGCAGGGGGACCTAATCACCCTCTCTCACTCTCATGACCACTTCCAGTGTCTGGTCAACAGGAATACAAGGGGGAGCTTCGGTCTTTGGATGAATTATGTTATATTACAAGTAATAAAGGTAGAGAAGTGGACCGGGGAGAGAGAGAGAGAGAGAGAGAGAGAGAGAGAGAGAGAGAGAGAGAGAGAGAGAGAGAGAGAGAGAGAGAGAGAGAGAGAGAGAGAGAGAGAGAGAGAGAGAGAGTGAGTTACGACCTTTCACTGCGATTAATAAGTCATGTACTACTACGAAGGTCTCTCTCTCTTAAGTGTACGTGAATTCAACCGTAAGAACTCCATTTTAAGATCTGTTTTAATAGCGGAAATTTGAACGAGGGTCATCAGTGGTCACTATTCAGCAATTTATATAATTTTATTGATGGGAACATCCTGAAATCATTGTCTCAGTTATAAAGATTGTCAATGGAACTATGCAGTTTCAGGAATATGGGACCACTGTGATACTACGGTCTGGAGTGGCCTCTCCAGGGCGCAAAGCCTAGGTAGGTCGATAAGGAGGAGAAGCTGTTACCCATGCAGCAGGTCCTTCCCTCCCCCTCCTCTCCACGTTGTTGAAATTTTCCAATGGAAAGGCAAACGCCAATATGCTTGGTTCCAGCGCCAAGCGTATTGGAACCAATTACAACGTATTGGAATCATTATCTTCTTTCAGGATAGTGAACCTGAACCATTAGTGAACCGTTTTGAACTTTCCTGAACCTGAAACTGAGATGTCTAGTATGTGTGTTGAGGCTTGTATATACCTTACCAATTACATAGGATTTCAGCCCGCTTCGTTAGCAACTTGGCACACAGACACACACACAGTCTAAATGCAATTCCATATTCCCACTCTCAGGTAAAGCAAATTATAGTTCTGCTGAAAATGAAGGGACTACTAGAAAATGAAGGGACGACGGCGTTTCGGTCCGTCCTGGACCATTCTCAGGTCGATTGTGAACTTGAGAATGGTCCAGGATGGACCGAAACGTCGTCGTCCCTTCACTGGTAATCCACATGGCTATAATTTATTTTTAATATATCATTTTCAGTGCTGTTTTATTTTCCATTTTTAAGTCTTAACTTGGGCGTGAAGTCGTAATGAATTGAGTCTCTCTCTCGCCTCGTTACTCTTAAGGGTAATGGCAATTGTCTTTGACGTGGCTGGTGTCATTGTTCAATGCCTGGGTGTCTCAGGTGGTGGGCTGGTTGTGGTGGTGTGGTGGTGGTGGTGGTGGTGGTGGGCTGGTTGTGGTGGTGGTGTCTGTGGGCTGGTTGTGGTGGTGGTGGTGGGTTGGTTGTGGTGGTGGTGGTGGTGGGCTGGTTGTGGTGGTGTGGTGGTGGTGGTGGTGGTGGGCTGGTTGTGGTGGTGGTGTCTGTGGTTGTTGTGGTGGTGATGGTGATACGAGTGGCAATATTGGTTGCAGATGTGGTAGTGATCGTGGTGGAGGTGCAGGTGGAAATAGTTGTATGGTGGTACTAGACTTTGTGGTGAAGGTGGTTGAGCCATTATGATACGATCAGCATTAAATAAATGAGACTCTGATAAACACTCAGTCAGAGCTGAGTGTTTATCAGAGTCTAAAGTGTTTATCACTCTAAGCAAGTAAGAAAAACGATTAAATAATTACATTTAACTTTACCCTCAAATAATTTAAATATACAGAGGACAAAGTCTCAAATTTTTTAATACAAAAGCAAAGTTTTTTGTATTAAATCACAATATCATTATGCACTGCATGACTCAGATATTATATACACAGAGAGTTACATTATCTTCAATCTTTGTTAATTCACACACCGTCATGATTTACAATGTTTAAGGATCTTTTCCCTATCCTGTAGTCTAATATGACGTTCTAGTCCTTTTATGAGTATGCTCTTGATGTTAGAGAGCTTTCCGCAGCCTTCAGTAGAGCCTTGACTATCCAGAGCAGTTTCCAATAGTTCCAGCAGCTCCGTCAAAGGCCGCTCTAACTGGTACTTCTCCCACGCCTCGAACACAGCCTGCAAGGGTGCGACAATCAGTGTGGGGCATCCTGGATATCATAGTTACTCCTTAATCCAAAGAAAATGTGGGTCCCTCTAATGCTTCTATACATTTATAGAAGCATTATAAATGCTTCTATCTTAACCAATCCACACACTAAAAGGTGAAGGGACGACGACCTTTCGGTCCGTCCTGGACCATTCTCAAGTCAATTGTAAGGACCATTCACAATCGACTTGAGAATGGTCCAGGACGGACCGAAACGTCGTCGTCCCTTCACCTTCTAGTGTGTGGTCTGGTCAACATACTTCAGCCACGTTATTGTGACTCATTGCCTGCAATGATTCTATGCATTTATCTATACGATCTACCGTTCAGAATGATGATTATCATACGTATGTTTAGTATTCACTTATTATCAGTTAATCAGAGAAATCACTACGCCAGGATCATGTCTCGTTTTAGTTTTCAACTCAATGAAAAGAATCTCAAGCCATACTAGACTTTAGTACTGCTATTAATAAGGGCGAAATCGTATATTTAATGGTATTGGGAATGGAATTGCCTGTCAGTATTGATCTGCTAAATCATCTCGTGGCTGATTACTCGGTTGATCACGTGATTGATCACGTGGATGCTGTGACAGATCGTTACGATGATAATTAATCAGAGATAGTTTAGTTCATCTTTAAAACTGATTTCTGGACCGGCTCGAAGTTCTGTTATAGTTAGATAATTATCACTAGTAAGCTCTAATCCATCGCGACTGTACAGCACTTGGAAGGGTGACGAGGATAAGGATTTAGGATAGTATGAAGGAAAGGAATGGTGCCCATCCACTTTGATGCACGGGGATTGAACGCAGACCTGCAAGAAGCGTATCACTATCATCCCCAGTGGTTCAGTTAAATATTCCACGAATATATTGAACAATTTTAGCATGTTTGCAATTGTGCACTCGTCAATTTTGAACCCCAAGACACGACTGCTGAAATGAGCAGTTAGGCCTATTGCAGTTGAGACGTGAACGAGTGCCTACTGACCAATTAGGTGGAAAAGGCTACTGTTGGTCTGGTCTCACCTAGGTATGGCACTGTAGGCCTGAACTCAACTGGGTATGGCACTGTAGGCCTGGACTCAACTGGGTATGGCACTCTAGGCCTGGACTCAATTGGGTATGGCACTGTAGGCCTGGACTCAACTGGGTATGGCACTCTAGGCCTGGACTCAATTGGGTATGGCAATGTTGACCTAGACTCAACTGGGTATGGCACCGTAGGCCTGGCACTCACCTGAAGCTGTCTCTCCTGGCCATTCATGAAGGTCATGGCGGCACCGTGGAGGAGTGCCACCCCTCTAGAAGCGGCACCTGGGCACTTGTTCCACCCCTCTGAACAAACCATCTGTCTGTAGTTCCATTCACATCCTAATTCGTACAGTCGATTTGACCTTTCCTGTGGAGGGCAGTGGTGGGGGTCAGATGGGTTGACAGCAAGGTAGGCGTAGGGTGGGTGTAAGGGAAGAAATAGGGAGTGTGGGGAAGAGGCAGGAAGGTTACAGGAAGGGTGTATAGGCAAGACAAAGGGAAGGTGTAATGAAGTTACAGAGTAGATTTCATATTGCTGGTAAATCCACATAATTTCAGGGACAGAAGGGTTGTATGATAGGTAAAGAATAAGTAGGATGATAGGAAGGTACACTAAGGGTGAACAGACAGCATAGGCCACTACAGGGAAGATATAGAGAGAATCAAGAAGCTATTTCCCCCTAACAGCATTTATTAACCATTATCTATTCTCTCATCTATTTCAATCTCGTGAATAACCAAGTATCCCCATAAGTCCTTTGAGCATCTTACTAGTGATGTACCGGTATCTGTTTGCATTTTGAGTAGATTGATTATACTTCTTCAACTCTCTCTGTTAGGATCTCCAGTTAATACTTCCAAGGAGATAGAAGCGGAAGTTATTGATGATTAGACAGCTAGTTAGGGAAGGGAAAGTTAGGGAAGGTCAAATCAGGGAAGAGAAATCAAGGGAGATATCAGCAGATCCCTTTAATGATCTCTTAAAAGCAGAAACAGTAGAACTTTCCAAAAAAGGGCAGAGAAGGGTATGCATGCTTTCACATTGGTCAGGCTGACCTGACCTCATATCTCCAGGCTGACCTGACCTTGTATATCAAGGCTGACCTGACCTTGTATCTCCAGGCTGACCTGACCTTGTATACCAAGGTTGAGCTGACCTTGTATCTCCAGACGATCCCATGAGAGAGATCAGTGGTGCGACACCTCTCTCCACTACACCAATCTATACCTCTGAAGTCCCCTATGTTCTACCTTAGCACCGGACACATATCTACACATAAACTGATCCCTGTCGCATCTCAAACGACATACGACGGTCGTAGTAGCCTCGCTAGACTGCCTACACCTTACTCTATCACAAGACAGGTAATATGATTGTGCTAGCTGCGTGCAAAAGTAGTTAGAGACAGTGCACGTGCATGCACAAGACGACTAACACACTCAATTGCTCTTAATGTACACAACCCTTTACCCACTCAAAGCAATAGGGATTCCACAGCTCTCACTATCTATATACTCCAAGGCTACTCGCGTAGAGAGTTGATAAGCCTTCAGGAACATATAGAATATAAAAAAGTGTGCGATAAGATAAGATAAGAGTAGAGGAGGCTTGAGTAACGGACCGGACGAAGGAGACGCAACAGCTAAATCCTTACCCTGCTGAAGATTATGTTCAGAATATCCTGATCGGCCAATTTCAGCATGCCCTTGTAGCGCCTGGTGACGTTCACGATGGTACTCAACCAGCCCAAAGGGAAGTGGTTCAGGCGGGTCAGGTTCATAAGGATGACCCCAGCGTTGACCCCACTGCTGCCGAAGGTGGGGAACTGGACCCCACGAAGGTAGAACATTAGTGGAGGCAAGAAGATATGGAGGGAGAGAGAGAGGAGGGGAAGTGAGGGATTGTGAGAAAGAAGGAGGTAGATAGGGAGGAAAATGGAGAAAGAGGGAGGTAGATCAAGAGGAAAATGGATAAAGAGGGAGGTAGATTGACAGGAAAAGGGAGAAAGGGAGAGAAAAAGGGAAGGAAAAGTGCTTTACTACTATCACTAAGTACAACTCATACGGTACTGTATGTACATTTTCTTCACTTATTAACAAATTCTTATCTCTGAATACACCTATTCTTTCCATGCAAGGGTCTTGAACCTCTTATATTCATGCCTTAGATGCCAAGACATTACTTATTTTCCATATCCAGTTGGCAAAAAATCCTCAGGAACAACATAGATACACTATCGACAAGCCGCCGGGTTTCTGTCCCCGTTGAGGCCATTAGAGAGACAATAGCCTTCAGGTAAACAATGAACTCCCCCCCCCCTCCCCTTCTCTATCTAAGCATATTTCTATTTCGTTTATTGGGTATTTTTCCTCGAAAAAAATTACCAGGGAGGAAAATAAAGTACCTTTTTGAAACCTGGTCCATACATGTAGAGGCATGGCGATATTCCCACACTATGGCGCTCCTCGAAGTTCTGAAACTCCTTCCATAAATCCTCCGGAGGCTGCATAAAAAGGAGATCCGTATCTAGGAAGATGAGAGCATCTTTCTGCGGGAAAATCTGTGGTAAGAAAAGCCTTTCTGTGGCGCATGGTCGAAACATGTCCCGCATTTCCTCCGTCTTTGGAGGGTAGAAGACCCGGGTGTTATCGAAGATGAGGCGAGAACGGTATGCCTCAGGCCAGGATCTGGTGACGTTGATGATATCGTGGTACATCTCGGTGGTGTCAGTGATGATGTTGAATCTGATGAGTGGTGAGAGAGAGGGAGGGAACAGGTGTGACAAACTCATACACACACACACACACACACACCAGGCTACGAGAGGGCCTCGTAGCCTGGTGGATAGCGCGCAGACTCGTAATTCTGAGGCGCGGATTCGATTCCCGCACGAGGCAGAAACAAATGGGCAAAATTTCTTTCACCCTGAATGCCCCCTGTTACCTAGCAGTAAATAGGTACCTGGGAGTTAGTCAGCTGTCATGGGCTGCTTCCTTGTGTGTGTGTGTGTGGTGTGGAGAAAAAAAAAGTAGTAAACAGTTGATTGACAGTTGAGAGGCGGGCCGAAAGAGCAAAGCTCAACCCCCGCAAACACAACTAGGTGAATACACACACACACACACACACACACACACACACACACACACACACACACACACACACACACAGACACACACACAGACACACACACAGACACACACACACACACACACACACACACACACACACACACACACACACACTCACACACACACACACACACACACACACACACACACACACACACACACACACACACACACACACACACACACACACACACACACACACACACACACACACACACACACACACACACACACACACACACACACACACACACACACACACACACACACACACACACACACACGCACACACACACACACACTCACACACACACACACACACACACACACACACACACACACACACACACACACACACACACACCAATGACCACCTGACATCCAGTCACCTAACCCTTCAAATTTCCGGTGACCTCGTGACATCAGTCATTTGACCCTTTGACCTTCATAAGGTAGTAGAGCTTCGTAATTACTGTCTCAAATCCCATGTTCTTGAAGACATTTTAATAGTTAATAGGGAAATTAGGTAGGTATACTTAAGGGTAGTGGAGGTAAGTGCCGCGGCTGACTTAAGCAGGACGCTGATCTGTCGCAGGTGACGGGTTAAGTTCACTTCCAGAATCCCAAGATTGTTCGAAGATGCTGCAATACGTGAGATCTGGTAAGTCGGATTGTTACTTATTGAATAAAGGCAATTCCTACTGATGCTACTAAATAAATAGGCCTCTAGGAATAGGTTTCAGCTGAGTTGAGGTAGGATTACAGCTCTTGCTTGCATTTTCACCAAGTTCCTTATAAGATAATTCCTTTATGATAGTTCCCTAAGTGATACTTTCAAAGTAATTTCTCATGAAATATGTGTTTTAAGGAGCAGGCTTGAGATGAGCTTAGGTAGGATAACAGGTCTTAGTATTAACTTAAAAGAGAGAGAGAAAGAGAGAGAGAGAGAGAGAGAGAGAGAGAGAGAGAGAGAGAGAGAGAGAGAGAGAGAGAGAGAGAGAGAGAGAGAGAGAGAGAGAGAGAGAGAGAGAGAGAGAGAGAGAGAGAGACTTGGATTACCTTCGCAAAAGATGATGACAAATTCTGCTTTCGGAGTTGTTTCGTTGTCTAAACCATTAATTAACCCTGAAAATTGTAATCAGAAATTATAAATTTAAATACACAAATATGAATACATTTTTCGTTATGTATTTTTATATAAAATAAATGAAAATGTCTGTCTATGTGTGTATCTGTCTGAGGCCAGACACTTGGGTTTAATTGGATTTTTTTCCAAGTAATTGCTAAGGGGTACATGCCTAACATGGACGGGTCGCGGGTCACTTGCCATGAGTACAACACTTTCATGAGTGAGAAAATCCACTAACGATATGAGGGGGTCACGAACCCACGAACACGACATTGCCAAGTCGCATATTCTACCACTAAACCACCGTTATTTCTTAAAGCCATAAAACCGATTTTCTACTGAAATTGCAGGAAGTCTGGGAGTTGAGATGTGAGGTTGATCACATCTTAACTTCCATACAAAAGATGTATTTTATACATAAGTAGATCAAACGATGATCTGTATATAAGTTAAATATATGTTATATTATTATAGACCTCGATTTACCAAAGCCAGGGTTGAGATATTTTTAATACAGTAGTGTATATTTCAGTAATTGTATTATTAAATGCGTATTTTTTAACCAGAATATCAGTTTGGAGATTAATTTCATCCAGGTGAAACTCGATAGATATTCCATTACGTAAATTACGAAACCTGTGAAAAGGAAAAACAAGAATTGATAGTTCACCACTAAATCAGGGATCTGGTGATCATGTCCTAGCATTTTGTAATAGTGTCACCCACCTGATTATGGCCAAACCTGTTTGACCACCCCCACGTCCCTGAGTCTACCTTGCCTTATGGTTTATATACCTACATGGGGCTCCTATGTGAAGGTATATGTATGTCTCTCCCTGGGGACACACCCTGAGTTTCTCCAAGGAGAAGGGACCTCAACACACTATTCTATCATCACCCTCACAAACATTTCGTAAAAAAGTGACTCAACTCCTAATTGTATTTTGTATTTTGTGTATTATCGGAAACTGTATGTGCTGATCACACCAAAATTTAAAAATATATATATATTATCATATTACTTACCCATTAAACTCAAAAAACTTTGATTACAGTTCCCCTTAGATGTTATGGATTGTGTTCATGAAACGATGTTCTGAAATGTTCTTTCTTGTGTTATAGATTAGTGATATTACTGTGAATGAGTTCGTAGAGCACTAAGAATAACTTCAAAGTCAAATGAGAATGACTTGGAAGTTAATTGGGAATGACTTCGATGGTAACTGAGCTGAGCTCGAAGTTAGCTGAGAATGACTTCGAAAGTTGACTGAGAACGTCTTAGAAGCTCTCTTCACCATCCTAGTGACTCCGATCTTACCATCAAGTGTCGTGTAGAGTCCATCGTTCCCTGTGAAGCGGCTGCACAGGATAATAGTGATTGCAACTGCCCCCATGAAGAGTATGATTGCAATTCTTCTCCACCTCATCTACAGAAAACAGCAACAAAGTCACTGTTAAGTTGTAACCTCATCTTTATTCACCCTGTTAAGTTCCTGTTAATATTAACAGGTTAATTGACTGTTAGGGTCGACCGTGACTTTTACTCTGTCTTAAGTAATTAATTGTTTTAGTTCCAACTTTGATATTATCACAACATTAGAATTTAAGATAAATTTTTTAGATTTTTAAAATCTATAAACATATATATATATATATATATATATATATATATATATATATATATATATATATATATATATATATATATATATATATATATATATATATATATATATATATATATACGCCACATGAACGCATGTTCATGTTAGAACGTGCGTTCTAAAATTTCGATTTGACTTTGACTAAATTTGTCTACCACACACATATATTACCTCCATTGCAGCTACCACAATGCTTACCTCTACCACAACAACCACAATTCCTACCACCACCAGCACGCTCGATTGTCGTAGAGACACTACTCTCATCGAATGACAGGTTGATATAATCTTTACCTAACTGATAGCACAAAGATAACACGTGATATGTGTTCTCAATGCTATTTTTTATCCATTTGTCAGAGATATTCCCGCGCGGGCCTTATCTTCCGATGATTTCGGGGCTTAGCGTCCCTGCGGCCCGGTCCTCGACCAGGCCTCAAGGCGATGTGCCAATCATTTCATTAATACTTCAGTGGTGAAGGAGCTTTTACAACTCGTATGTATATATACCAATCATATATACTGATATATGTATGTCTTGCAAGATTTGAGATGCAGTTTACAGCGACCAATAGTGAAAATCCTTGCCCAATCGTGTCAGTCACTATAAGTGCAATGTAAGGTATTGGGATGGTATCTAATGTCTGGTTCATTTACCTTCGAGATTTTGACTATCTATTGGGAAAGAGTAATGCTAAAGTCTTGGCCAAAATTAATGACAGAAATATAATTTAATCAGATGTAATTACATATAGTAATAAAATTATTAATAAAATTACAGGTTTGTTTAAAAATCGATAAATTTTGTTTAGTAAAATAACTTTAAATATGTTGAATAAGGGTTATCAGTTCTCACGCCTCTAATTGTGTTCCTAATCAGTCATTGTATTCCATTCGTATCAAATTGACTCACAGAGGTTTGCTTTAATTATTTAATTATCTGTCTGCATTATTTAAAAAAAAAGATATATTGAATAAATTCTTATATTTGGGTCTTTGGTTTATTACGAAATTTCTTCTGATTCTTCGTTTCATTTTTATCTCTGTCTTATCTTTTGTCTATGTTTTCTGTCTAGTTGGGGGCTAATGGCTTCGTCTCCCCCAAGTCCTTGTTAACACACGACCAAACTACGACGTTGCTACAACATTCGAACAAGTTTTACCACCTAACAAGTTGTAACAACTAATATACAAAGTTGTAACAAGGCCCTAATACGTCATTAAAACGTTATAACAAGATGTAACAACTTTATTACAACTTGTAACAAGGGAATCATAGGGAATGTTAAGTTGTGTGTTTACAGGTCAATGACCTTTAATGAAACAAATCACTAACTACTGATTTGTATTTCCTTTTGGTTATCTATGCATATATATATATATATATATATATATATATATATATATATATATATATATATATATATATATATATATATATATATATATATATAGACAGAGGGCAGACGCCTATGGCTATCCTCTCTAAAATTTGAAGGGGGAAGGGTCTGAGGTATGGGACATAGTCTGGATTGGGGGTAGGCCTAAGTTACATAATTTATGAAATACTAATAACTATCCACAAATCCATGCAATTTCCATGGAGTTACGTTTGAAATCTGGTTTGTGGTTAATGTAGAGTTGCCCAATGAAGGGAAAAAATTAAATAGAATAGAGAAAGCAAAGCATTTGAGGCTTATCCATTTTCTTCAATGTTTCTTGAGAGGAAAAGCAGTTTGGAAAGGTGTGGAGGGAGGGAAGTGAGGAAGAGTGGGGGGAGACAGAGATAGCTAGATAGCTCCCTGTCTCTGTCTAACTCTACATTTGACGAGGTAGAATCATCCTCATGGATATAGAATCAACCCTACGACACTTCCCATACAATCACCAGTCATCCTGCAAAGTTTTGTTAAGAAACCCCTCAAACAACTAATGCCCCTTACTTTGAACAAACAATTAAACATTCTCTAATATAAATATAGATAAAACTATCTCTATATCTTTTATTCTCGAGTAAGTGGAGAGGAAAAAGCGATCAGACGATATCACTGGAAAAAAAGCCAGTGTGATATATAACCGGAAAGTCTTGGGAGTTTTCTCTCAACTTTAGAATGATTAAAAATTATCGTCCTCCACTTTGGGACAAATGGGTCGCTCCTCGCATTTGTATGCCAGCATTATCTCTCCTGCTGTCCACTTACTGTTTTTTTTCTCTCTCGCTCCATTTAGAGACATGGAGGGAAAGTCTATTTCAGTGAACACTGTCTAGGACCATCAAAGAGAGAGAGACAGAGAGAGAGAGAGAGAGAGAGATAGTCAGACAGACTAACTTCTCTGCCTCACTACACTATATAAAGATATTACTGCTGGTACAAAAATAACCACAATGCAGTTCCATGGTTCAAGAGAGAGCACAAAGCAAGGTGATATTTAAATCATGTTCTACTTTTAGGCTTTCCAAGGCGTCCAAAAGTGGAAATGAAGAAGCTCCTTGCTCTTGGTCAGACCCTGAAAACCTTTTTTTGACTCTCGTGTCTAAAATATTTCGTAAGAAGAGAAGCTTTTGACCTCTGACTCTTTGAGCTCTGTGGGGTCACAACTTGACCCTGTACCTCCTGCAGAATGGGGGGGGGGACAATGTGCCCTGGGCCAGAATTCAGCCACTATTTACGAAACCTGTACATCTTACACTCAATTTGTTGACATATTGAGTTTATGAGCAGCGAAACACTACAACATTATGTATAATAACAACAATTGGGTTATGACACACACAGAAATCACAATAGTTTGATATATCAAATGAACAAATTCACAAGAGCCGTGATGAGGGTTCGATGATTAATAACACACCAGGTTACAATTCTTTTTACCATGTTGTGGCGCAGCCGACTAAGACGCATCTGGGATCATCCCGAACGTAGGTTCGAATCCTCATCACGGCCCTTGTGGATTTGCTCATTGGTTTGTGAAGTTTTCAAACTCATAAACGTGTTAAATAAATGTTGACAAATGTTAAAATGTTTAAGAAAAATGTATAAGACATTAACAAGTAAATATTCTTAATTAACTAAAGATATTACCTTTTAAAATTAAATTAAATTAAATTTTAATTAAATTTAAATTAATTTAAATTAAAATTAAATTAAAGATATATCTTTTCTCTTCACTTACGTGAAAAATATCTAATGCTAATTCTTTTTTATAATTAATTCATTGATTTTTTAAATTAATTAATAAATTGATGCCTCAACTCGAGTCTAATGTTAATACTTTCTTTCCGACAGTGAAAGCAGCGAAGAACATTCGAGGACAGTGAAAGCAATGAAGAACAGCCGAGGATAGTGAAAGCAGTGACCACGTCAAGGAAGTAACGACAGTGACAGGATTACGTCACTTAACTACAGTGCCAATGATATCAGTGACAATTATGATATCATTGAAATAGCGACAGTGACGGTGATGACATCATGGAAGTAACCACAGTGACTAATTCACAGTAATCTCGTAACGGTGACAACGGTACAGTGAAGACTTTGATACGCTGAAGATCAGGATGCATAGAAGCTCAGTAGGATACAGTGAATATAATAGCACAATGAAAGCACAGTTTAGTGAAGCTGGTGATACAATGAAAGCTCAGTGCAATGAAACTGGTTGTACAATAGAAGCAAGTGATCAAACAGAGGCTATGGTACAATGAAAGCAATTACAATGATACAATTAAGGTACATTACATCAAGATGGCACAATGAAAACATTGGTGGTCAACTTAATTCGAAAATGTACAATGAAACCATTAATTTAACAAATTACAGTCGTACAATGAACAAGTGTGTTCACGAAAATCATATCCTAACTCCCAATCAAATTATTAACACAGCATAGGACAGTATAATCTTGAGGTTATCTTGAGATGATTTCGGGGCTTTAGTGTCCCCGCGGCCCGGTCCTCGACCAGGCCTCCACCCCCAGGAAGCAGCCCGTGACAGCTGACTAACACCCAGGTACCTATTTACTGCTAGGTAACAGGGGCATTCAGGGTGAAAGAAACTTTGCCCATTTGTTTCTGCCTCGTGCGGGAATCGAACCCGCGCCACAGAATTACGAGTCCTGCGCACTATCCACCAGGCTACGAGGCCCCTATAAGCAACATGTAGTTACACTACGAACTATGTAAACAACTAATTATGGTGATTAGACTGTCCTCGTTCTTCGACCTGGGTGAAACTATTGAAACCTTACCATGATATATATATATGGCTCATAAACCATCTTTTTCTTTACTTTCCGAAAATAATATTTTTCAAAATGTAAATCATCTGTGGGCAAATAAAAAAATGCTGCTTCTGAGTTATGTTAATTAAATTTGGAATTTAAACTTCAATAATATATGAAACTAGCACACATATATATATATATTTTTAAAGTGGTTTAAGAGTAATATCATAATATTTTAATCTGAAACAATATTAATTTTTTTAGGATTTCTAATAAGAAATATCTTAACATCTCAAACTTACATATTATTTATTTAAAAATATATATAATGAGATATATCTTAACATCTCAATCTTACCTAACATATATTTAAGAAAAAATATATTGATATATGTTTTATAATCTCAAATTTACACAATATTAAAAAGAGTTAATGATCTCTGATGAATTCAATATCATATTGAATGCAGTAAAGCAGATAGTTTGGTACTTAATGTGGAATACATTAAATTTAGTGTTTAAAAATAACGCAATGGTTCCATCAAATGAAAGAAGTGGATCCACAAGATGAAATCATTAGAGCCATGAGAAGAAAGCAGTCGTATCATACAACGAAAGAAGTAGAACCATGACATGAGTATAGCAGTAAAGGAAGCCATATATGTAGAAAATGAAAGCTGCAGTGTCGTAAATTCGGTTATGACAATGAATGAAAAAAGAATGAAAAAAGACCACGAAGGAAGGAAGCCCTTCCCTGATTCCTAATGAGAAAAATATTTTACCATAAAATCTTTTTCGGTGAATGTAGTATATATATATTGCAAAAAATGAATTCATTTCAAAGAATGAACCATTAAGAATGAAGGCATGAATCCTCTTTGTATCACCATATTGACAAAAACAATACCTCGGTGAATGTGAATGCAGTGAATGAAGTGCTTCGGAGAAAGCAATAGCACATTGAATGTTGTGATACAGTGAAAGATGGTGGAACAGTGAAACCCAAAGTACAGAGAAGTCAGGGGGTACAATTAAGGTGTTTGTTAGTGAAAGAAGTGGAATAATGAATGCTCTAATAGTTCCGACACTAGTCTACTGAAAGCAGTGATTCAATGAAAGCAGCGAGATACATTTTATTAAGGAGCAAGATAGCAATGGGAGTATTGCAGTGAAAGAAGTGGTAGAATGAAGGCAGTGATGCTTTGAATTCAGTGTTACAGTGAAAGCAGTGATTCTTTGCACTCGGTGTTACAGTGAAGGCAGTGGTACAGTGAAAACTAACACGAACTTCATGAAACCGCCCTTACTGAGAATTGCATTACTCCTGTCAGTGTCTCACTCTATGTTACGGTGAAATATATGTTTGACGTCACTGTTAATACGTACTGTGTACAGTGAAGGACCTGTAGAACACCTTAATTAACGAAATAATGCAAAATCTTTCGTTGCAAATTGCAAACACTCAACACTATTCAAGATATTCTAACCACTGCTTTTCGTGATTAGCGTAATAGCTTTCGCGTACCATGGAGTGAAAGTGTGGAGTGAATTGAGTGAAACGTTCTGGGAGTGAAAGCCTGAAACATCGTTATCAGCTGTGGGCCAATAGGATAACAGCATTGCCATGACGTCATTCGTAACAGCGGCTGCTTCGCCAATGAGGATTCTCTACGTATCTTCAGTTTTTATTTCCTTCCTACGTTCAGGTGAGCTAAAATGTTTGTAATGTAATTTAAAGTCTTACATTTACACTTTTAATCTGTATGAAAACAAATTCAGACTTTTATTCAGTGAGGGTTTTTCCTGTTTCAATATCTCCATGAACTCCCTCAAAAGATAACACCATGAAATATCTTGATGCAATATGTTATGATGTTTCAGAATAAGATATCATGAAAGAGATGTTTCAGGATAACAGCTCCATCATTAGTACTTGGAGTGACTGGAAAAAGTTATCTAGAGTTTAAAATCTAGATTCTCTAATCATTTCTGAACATCAAAGTACACCTTCTTCTATCTTCTATCTAGACTTCACCATTAATGTTTCATTGCATCGAATGGTGATTCACGAAAGCCTAACTGTTGAGCAATGCAATTAAGGTATATTAAATCAAATTGGCACAATGAAATCAGTGGTCAAATCACTGTTGACTTGTTCTGTATAAAGCCACTTAAATTTTAATGTACAAATCCACAAGGGCCGTGACGAGGATTCGAACCTACGTCCGAGAGCATCCCAGACGCTGGCTTAATTGTAATTTGAGTGTAGTGTTATTTAAATTTCATTTCAAAGTTACTTAAATTTCAAGGGAGCCGGTCGGCCGAGCGGACAGCACGCGGGACTTGTGATCCTGTGGTCCTGGGTCAATCCCAGGCGCCGGCGAGAAACAATGGGCAGAGTTTCTTTCACCCTACGCCCCTGTTATCTAGCCGTAAAATAGGTACCTGGGTGTTAGTCAGCTGTCATGGGCTGCTTCCTGGGGGTGGAGGCCTGGTCGCGGACCGGGCCGCGGGGACACTAAAAGCCCCGAAATCATCTCAAGATAACCTCAAGATAACCTCACCCATATACTTATTCAGTCTATTTTTGAAAAGCATTAATTTATTTGTCTCAATAATGCTAGCGAGCAAACCTATTCCAGTCAGTTACTTCTCTACTTCTAAGATAGTACTGCCCTATTTCCTTAGGGTCGTAGTTAGGGAGGGTCGTTTGAGCCCCAGTTTTTGACTGTTCGCCCCTGTTCACCCAGCTGTAATTGGGTACCTGGTTGTTAAGAGATTGTGAGATTGTGTTCCAAAGAGATTGTGAGATTGTGTTCCAGTAAAACTGATGAGGGAGATTTACTCTGAGCTATGGGAAGGGAAATGCTTTAAATCTGCTAGCAGGAGTCAGCAGTCGTCTGCTCCTGTACCCACCTGTGTAAAGAAAATATATTTATTATATATGAAATTCTCTTGTTAGAGAACAAATTCTGCTATTTTGTAGTATAATAGTCTTCGTTTGCGACGAATAACTGAGAGTCCGGGTTCGACTCCCAGGTGGAACGAAAATAATTACGAATGTAGGCGAGGAGTCACAATAACGTGGCTGAAGTATGTTGACCAGACCACACACTAGAAAGTGAAGGGACGACGACGTTTCGGTCCGTCCTGGACCATTCTCAAGTCGATTGGGAACTTGAGAATGGTCCAGGACGGACCGAAACGTCGTCGTCCCGTCACTTTCTAGTGTGTGATTTACTCAACATAATTACTAATGTTTCCTTCTACCTCATGCCTCTGTTTACCCAGTGACCTACACAGCTGTTGTGGGCTGCACCATGGCGAGGGCTAATCGTTAACTTAGATGGAACCCCATAAGCCTAACAGGTTTCCTCGACAACTCTAACAAGCTTCTTCGATTAGTCTAATTGGCTCTCTGAGAATGGAAACCATATTAAATTACTTCTTCCAAGCGTAAATAATTCCCCTATTTTGGCCCGGAAATTTGGACTTTCTAGACTATTATTTGTGAAATTGGTAATTTGTAATTTTTTTTAATAGATAACAATTATTTTGTAACTATTCGGCTTTTATTTGTTAACTAATTGGCTAAAATTTTGTAACTATATGCTATTATTTTTTTTTAACTAGTTGCCAATTATTTTGTAACTAGCTGGCTATTATTATGTCATTAATTGACTATTAATATTTTTTAACTAGTTAGCTATTATTTTTAACATTATTATTTTTATACTTGTTAACTATTATTTTGTAACTAGCCAATTTTTTCTGTCTCGATTTATATGCTGTCCAACTACTTGGACTTCCTGCCATTGGACTTTTTGCTATTAGACTTTTTGATATAGGACTTTTTGCTATTGGACTTTATGATATAGGAGTTTTTGCTATTGGACTTTTTGCTTTTGGACTTTTTGCTACTGGACTTTTTGCTTTTGGACTTTTTGCTATTGGACTTCCTGCCATTGGACCTGTTGCTATTGGATTTCTGTTCTTGCTGCACATTAACGACCCGTCTTGATCTCACTGAATCATACGATATCAGCATTCTTCATATCACCTAATATTGCAATTAAAATCTTGCGCAATCTTACACTATCTGTGTCCAGGACCCAGCTAGATCTTGCATATCATTAAGATATCATACTGTGCTGTATCTTTTGTAATTTTACGATATCAGATTTCGTATGTTCCTAGTACTGTTGGATCTCACGGAATTTTTTACGATATCAATATTCGTTTAATTGCGGTCGTATGTAATCTTGCGCTATCTTATATCATTATCTTGCGTAATCTTATATCATTAGATCACTGATGGAGGGAGCCGGTCGGCCGAGTGGACAGCACGCTGGACTTGTGATCCTGTGGTCCTGGGTTCAATCCCAGGCGCCGGCGAGAAACAATGGGCAGAGTTTCTTTCACCCTATGCCCCTGTTACCTAGCAGTAAAATAGGTACCTGGGTGTTAGTCAGCTGTCACGGGCTGCTTCCTGGGGGTGGAGGCCTAGTCGAGGACCGGACCGCGGGGACACTAAAAAAGCCCCGAAATCATCTCAAGATAACCTCTAGATGGATCGTGCGTATAATTACGATATTAACGAAATGGTTAACGATTCTGCGCTTGCAATTTCACTAATTTCATCCTAATTACTCGCCTGGTTAACTTCTGCCCAATAGTGCTGTTGAAGCCGTTCGGTTACCTGCGTCTCGAAGGTGAAATCCAAATTCAATTTGTTCGAATTTGATTCCGGAAGAAATATTTTTGGATGTTTTATTGTTGAATTCAATCACCCAACCAGAGTTCGAATCCCCGTAGCCTGGGACCACCCCCTGGCGTACAGTATTCTTAATATACGTTCCAGTCTTATACCAATAACGTAATAATTGTCTACTAATTACCGGGTTAACTACCCAATAATGCGCAACTCAGACATTTCATTATAATTTCAATTATTAATTACCTAAGTAGATGCCGCAGTGCTTAAACGACTTTTATGATTTCCTATTATGTGGAATTTATGTATTTATTATATATATGTAAAATTGAATTCGCAAATGCAATGCTTTGAGGTTTAAGAGAGACGACAGGGATTCAAATCACTTGAATTTTAGATTTTCGCGAACTACTGGCACGGAATGGTTAGTAAAAGTCTTCAGAATAATAAGTTAGAGGGTTTCAGACTATCCACCCTGTTGTGGGTCCGTGGAATAAGTATTATACACATGTGTATAACCGGTATACATACTATATATACATGTATAGATATATACATAGCAATTATGCATTTATCTTCACACACACACACACACACACACACACACACACACACACACACACACACACACACACACACACACACACATTGACAGGGGCTATCCTGGGCAGGGCGAGACAGCTAGGCGCGTCTCCTTGCACCCGTTGCCTCTGTTCACCTAGCAGTAATTAGGAACTTGGTTGTTAGTCGACTGTTGTTGGTCGCTTTCTGAGGAATGGTCAAATACCGTTCATATTCGAGAGATCTTCAAATTTCCCACAAAACATGGAACCTACCTACCTACACAGTGAATATAAAAACTGCCTTTAGTGGTTGATATCAGCAATAATTCGTACCAAACAGCTGGGAAAAGCAAGGCAATAATTCCTTATATGAGAGTAATAACCCAACATTACAGGTCTGCTTGACAGCTGTGTACTGCAATATGCCAACACCCACAAGCTGTTCGGTCCGAGATGGTAGCCGTGTTCAGGCATAACAAGTGAGGTGACTGGTTGTAAAACCCAGCGGAAGTATGTGTAAGAGTGCTATCAAGGGGCGAGACTGAGTTGAAAGATAAGAAAGTTGATAAGATAGGATAAGATAAGATAAGATAAGATAAGAGTTGAAAGACTTAAGGAAAGTCCTGGAGTGCTTCTGTTGCCTCCTGCAGAAGTGATGTTATTCCACAACCTGATAGAAGGACCTAAAGGAAGGACTATTTCACCACTGACAGGGGCTACTAGGAAGACTGTTCTCTACCGTTGACAGGGGCTACTAGGAAGACTGTTCTCTACCACTGACAGGGGCTACTAGGAAGACTGTTCTCTACCACTGACAGGGGCTACTAGGAAGACTGTTCTCTACCGCTGACAGGGGCTACTAGGAATACTGTTCTCTACCACTGACAGGGGCTACTAGGAAGACTGTTCTCTACCACTGACAGGGGCTACTAGGAAGACTGTTCTCTACCACTGACAGGGGCTACCAGGAACACTGTTCTCTACCACTGACAGGGGCTACTAGGAACACTGTTCTCTACCGCTGACAGGGGCTACTAGGAACACTGTTCTCTACCACTGACAGGGGCTACTAGGAACACTGTTCTCTACCGCTGACAGGGGCTACTAGGAACACTGTTCTCTACCACTGACAGGGGCTACCAGGAAGACTGTTCTCTACCACTGACAGGGGCTACCAGGAAGACTGTTCTCTACCGCTGACAGAGGCTACCAGGAAGACTGTTCTCTACCACTGACAGGGGCTACTAGGAAGACTGTTCTCTACCACTGACAGGGGCTACCAGGAAGACTGTTCTCTACCACTGACAGAGGCTACCAGGAAGACTGTTCTCTACCGGTGACAGGGGCTACCAGGAAGACTGTTCTCTACCACTGACAGCTGCTACTAGGAAGACTGTTCTCTACCGCTGACAGGGGCTACTAGGAAGAC